CTGATTGTGGGACTGGAGTTGGGAATATCCTGAGGGTGAAACCCAGCTGATTGTGGGACTGGAGTTGGGAATATCCTGAGGGTGAAACCCCACTGAGGGTGGGATTGGAGTTGGGAATATCCTGAGGGTGAAACCCCACTGAAGGTGGGAGCAGGGTCGGGAATATCCTGAGGGTGAAACCCCACTGAGGGTTGGGAATATTCTGAGGGTGAAACCCCGCTGAGGGTGGGAGTGGGATCGGGAATATCCTGAGGGTGAAACCTCTGAGCGTGGGACTGGAGTTGGGAATATCCTGAGGGTGAAACCCCATTGAGGGTGGGAATAGAGTCAGGAATATCCTGAGGGTGAAACCCCRCTGAGGGTGGGAGCAGAGTCAGGAATATCCTGAGGGTGAAACCTCCCACTCCTGGAATTGGGAGAGCCCTCCTGGGACTGGGAGAGCCTTACTGGCAATGGGAGAGCCTTACTGGGACTGGGAGAGCCCTAGTGGGAACAGGAGACTCCTCCTGGGAATGGCAATGTCAGTGCCCGCTCCATGCCCAGGTGACGGTGCGGTGCCGCTGACCGTGGCCGTGCCCAGCCGCCTGGCCGTGCCGGTGGCTCTGGGTGGCCCTGCGGCCAGCAGGACGGCGGCGCTGGAGCAGCTGCGGGAGCGGCTGGAGGCGGGCGAGCCCCCCGAGAAGAAGGGGGCGCGGCTGACGGACGAGGAGCAGCGGATGGTGCAGCAGGCGCTGCAGCGCAACCTGCTCAGCGTGGCCCGGCAGATCCCYATGAGGATCAAAATCAACGGCAAGGGTGAGCTGGGGCGCTGGGCACCGAGGGGTTAAAGCAGAGTGTAGGGTTTGGGGTCGGGTTTTCCTGCCCGGGTTGTAGTCCATCCCAAAAAATCCYGGATTCAGAAGGATTTTGCCATGTTCCCAAAGCTGGTTCAGGTGCTTGGCCTCAAATATGGTGGAAAAGGTCAAAAGAGGCGATTCCCCCACAGCAACAGCAGCTGGGATTGGGATTCCCAGTTCCTGGCAGCTCTGCTCCCACCCACATTCTGGAAACTCCCCTCCCTCTCAAATTCTCCATCCAAACCCACACAGCTGCTGAAAGGAAATACAAATTTATCCAGTCACTCTCTCCTCGCTGGGAGAGTCCCTACAAATAGGATTTTCCTGAGGATTCTGGGATGGGATTCCCATACTTGTGAGCAGGGCTGCTCTGCCCTCTGCACCCTCATTTCCCCCACTSCACCATGAAAAACCGGTTGTGCTGTGAAAGGAGAAAAAATTTACTGAATGTTTTTGACTGATTTTAACCACAGCTAATTAGATTGTGTTTTAATAACAATTGGACCTTTACAAAAACAATTAATGCATGGTTGGATAACAATGTTTAGGTTCAGCAGTTTTTAGGGCGGTGGCCTCGCTGTAGGAGCAATCCCAAAATCCTCAAACTCCGCTGGTACTTCCCGAGCTGAGGGGACAGAGAAAAATGTTTTTTTTTTTTTGGAGTGTTCCGGGGTTTTCACTCCCTCTAGTGGCCGCTTGGGATCACGGCCCTGTAAGGAATGAGATCGCCGACCTGCGTGGAGTGGGGTCATTGCCCTGTGAGGAATGGGATCATTGT